ACTGTTTTCACGACGCTTTTCACGCCGCTCTTCGCGACGCGTTTCATCCCGCGCATCCTTGCACTCCGACAACGCGCACACTCTCGGTCGTCATGACGAATGAACGACAGCGCGATAATAATCAGCGTCGCTTTTCTTCGAAAGGATTCGCGTTCTACGAGGAAAAATTGGCCCCACCGTGTGTCCAGGCGAAAATGAAGAAACGCGAGCGGAAGTGCCTCGAGGAGTGGATTAGAATTTTTCCGCAGGGTATAGAATCGTGGAGAACAGGTCGGGCGGGTACTCGTTAGCCGCGAAATAGATAGGATTCGATGCGTTTCCACGGTGGGTGGTCGTAACGTGGCATTAAATTCAATTTATCGACTGGAAGGGATATCGACAAGTACGATTCACTACGTTGACCGCGTCGTATCGTGTGCCGGTTTGCGCGAGATATACCTTCCGTAACGATCCCCTGGTGGATCCACGCGTGGCTTTTGCGGAGCAGTCGGGCCAACGGCGCGTTCAAACGTCCGCCTCGTCACTCGTGTGAAATACGTCTGCCAAAACGGCTCGCACGGACACCAGAAATCACAGGTCTCAGGACCTCGAGGAAGCTCGCGGAAGCTCGTGGCAGTGGATCGGCCGGAGGAACGACACGCGACCAGGATACGAAGGAACGAGCTGATTCGACATGTCTGCAAGAAGCGCGAACAACGAAATCCTTGGTCGTCTCTCCGAGGATACACGCGGCCCCTCTGTGCTTGGCTTAATGGAGGTGGAACAGAGGGAACCGCGTGGATGGCTCTCACGAGAGAGATCGGTAACCTCTTTCCCTCCCTTTCTCTCCCTTTCTTTCCTCGATGCGTGTGCCCGTCTGCATAAAGAATCGCCCGGAACATCGCTTCGTCGCTTCGTCGAAGCGACCAGTTCGAGGAAACGACTCGAACGGGAAAAATTCCAAAAGCCCGAACGAACCGAGCGTGTCCGAGCTTTTTTATCACGTCGGAATAAGAAATTCCACGGCTGGAATCCGTCGCTAACCGAGCACGTCAGGACGAGACAGCGCGTATCGGGGATACGTGGGAGAAAAGGGAAAAACGCGGAGGAAGCGGAAAAGGAGATGGAAGAACGACAAAGCCGGACGAGCACGGCGAGAAAAACGGCGGAGGAAGAAGCTCGGGAAATGAAAATAATGGACGCGTAGGAAAACGAGGCTAACGTAACGAGAAACCGGGACTGGATCAGGCAGAGGAAATCTGAGGAAGGGCTGAGAAAATAGATGAAGAAAGGAAAACGCAGGCAATAGCGGGAAAGGGTCGTGGACGAAAATGAAAGAAATATAGAGGAGAAAAGTCTGCGAGGAATGCAATTACCAAACAAGCTTGCTACGTAAAGACGAACATAGTCGAGACACGGAGTGTACTTAGGTAACTGGATGGCGGAGGAAGATGGGGACAAATCGGTGGCCATCGAGCATACTTTTAGCTTATGAAAACCGTAGCGAGGTTGCGAATAGAGCAATCGGTTACCGAGATTTCCGACGAAATACGCTCGAGTTTCGCCAGTTCTTTTATAGTCTACCAGTCACGCTTAACATGCAAAGGGGGCAACAGACTCGCGAAACGGTACTCAATTATGCGAGAGTCGAGTACTCGCTCGGTGTATTCGCGGTATCTGCTCGATCAAAGTATTCTTGGCCGTCGCTAATAACCATTTACGTGCGGTTGATGCATCGTTAAAATATCGTGTACGTTAAACGAAAGAAAAACGAAGAGTCGGAGGAAAGAACGAAACTCGAAGCAGGGGGACGAAAGAGGAGAAAAAATGAAGGCGAGGAATAACCGGAGACGGGGATGTCGACCTACTGTCCTGCATACCATGCGGGACTACCTGCCACGGGAACACTCGACACGATACACGTGGTCCAAATCCAGAGGTTTCCTTTCAGCGTATGCAAACTTACGCGGTCGTTACAGTCCTCGTTTCCTTTTCGATTTCCACTTTTCTACGACTGCACACGCGTAACTGGATACACGGCCGTTTCCTTTCTAACGCCAGCTGACATTATCCTCGACGCGTTGCGTCATTGCTGACAGAAACTCCGAGAATTTTCCCAATTCCACTCGAAATTTCTTTCTCCGCTCCCTCGGACACGACCACGATATCTGTCGTTCGATGACAAATTACTCGAAGCGTAGGTATAAAAATACGTATACCTGTGGTATCGATAATATATCAATCGACCGATCGGTGGTCACGAAGCTCGTTTCTAACATATTTTCAGCCATTTTTGTGAAATAATTCGATTCTTAACGGGGTTAATTCGTTACCAGTTGGATGGTCGAGTTTAACGAGAATCTTTTGCCGATATTTTAATGTCTCTGAAAGTAGTTAATTACTAAACTCATTCGAAGGGTAGAATGATATCTCGGTCGGATCAAGAGCGATAATTCTATAGATTCGATATGGGTTTGTAACCACGGACCAATCCGAGATTAATATTATTAGGGACGATTGTGTAAGAATATCGGTAACGATAGCGATGGAAAAGCTGAGAAAACAGCGCGACTGGTGGAAGGTCGATAAACACGGTTCTCCGAATCATTAATAACGTAATTGGATACAAAAGAGCACTCGAACAGTACGCGTTCGATTCCCCTGCGAGAAGAAATATTATTATTCTTGGTGTACGTAGCCAATTAACAAGCTACGGTTGAACGTTCGAAATTAATTCCCGTATTTTCACAAAAGCGAAATACTTTCGCGTTTCACGCTCTGTAATGCTCGCCTCGTTTCCCCGCGATGCAAAATGCTCGGGATATTAATAAGAAAACGAAACGCGAGTTTTACCAAGGTTAACTTATTCTTACGATTTTCCGCGTAATCAGATTTTTAATATTTCAACAACGGAGAAACTCGTAAACCGTGGAAACAAAGTTTGTCAGAGAGCTGTAGACGGTTCTCACGTACGAGGGATTAAGGTTCACGGCTGGTTGTTGGCGAAATGGCCCGGAGTGGTCCCAGGCATCCTATTATCGCTATTGGGTTATCCCATAATTTTCATTTAGCTACTTGCGGCATACCGGTTAATAGCCATGACCACCCGAACCGATCTATTACCATTAAAATTAAATACCGAATCGAAACGCGGGAAATTCGTTCCACCCCCGAGGCGAAAAACTCGAAGGAAGAAAGCGGTTGAAACGCAGAGGGCGAAATTTCCAGACGTATTCCGGGATTACGACGAAATTCCAAAGTTCGACAGCAGTTGCGGCTAACGTTGATCGAATTACGAGTACACGGTTCCTTAAACTTTGATACATACGACCCTCGCTCGAGTCGAAACCTTTCCGAAATCGGCCATCTTCCGTTTCGCGTCTTTCCAGACTTTTCTCGTCATCGATGTTTTATAGAGCCCTCGGGACAACTTTGACAAAGTCTGCCGAAGAGTGATCGCCTAACAAGTATCGCGTTGGAAACTTTCCAATCGTATTTCCAACTGGATATACATTTTTTCCGAACCAATCACGAGGCTGCCCCGATCTTATTAACTATTCTCAATTTTCTCCCCTCTCGGAATAAAATCTTTTTACGTACGTACGTGTATACACGTACGCAGAGGAAAGCATAGCAGTTCGTCTTTTAATCATTCGCGCTTCACTGGCGTCAGTACGGAGATATCGATATAATTTTCGTCATAATCTTTTCGCATACGAAAAGCACGTCGCCGCGTCGCGTAATGGAAACGCATAGATCTATGAAATTCTCCGTTCGTGGAATCGCGATACGGTTTCGCACGCTTGGGTCTGTTAGGCGAACGCTGCTCCGCATATACCGCTATTCCAATTCCAAGCTCGTCGAGCCGAGTCGATGCACGTCTCTATCTAGTGGGAGTTCGTTTCAAACTTATTTTCCCGAGTCCACCGATGATTCCGCTTTATTTCCGTGACCGACATGTAAAGGGTCGTCTTGTTAGGGTGAACCAGTGAAAAGGTAAAGCATAAATAAGTCTCGTCGTTTTTACAGGGATACGTCTAGGGAAAGTTGGGGAAAACGAAGCAGTCGAGAAACTTGGAGATAAAGGACGG